CCGAATTTTTCATATAGTGAGGACAAGCTTGTTTTTCTATAGTACTCCAACCGGACAAGTATTGAATATACGGAAAAGTCATTGATAGTCCGCATAACTACAACTCTCAATAAAAAATTTTTCTTACGGTACACATCATAGGTCACCATACCCACCTCCCATAACTCGGATAAGCTTGGATATGAAAGGTCGCAAGTAAACATCTAACTTATATTTTGAATTTATTAGACTCGAAACAATTACTATTAGGAACATATATTCCTCCTTCATACACATTCATGGTGAAAAATTATATGGACTCACAATGACCGACCATGAGGAATATTACGCACCGCATTAACCAAATGGTTGAAAACAATCGGTGCACACTCCTAATCGGACATTCCTTATTTCAATTCGCAAAAGGAGGATTAATCCGATTGAAAATTTGTCATGTAATAGAATCGAAGGATGACGCATTACTCCTACATTATCTTTCCTATGTTTAGCATACCACGTCATGTGCTTAACTATCGCATTCGATGCATACAATCGTTGCGGATGCGGGGTTAGAGGAAAGTAGTATATTTTTTTATTTAGAATAATTTTTTCTCTTCCCGATCCTCGACGAGAACTTTGATATTAAGGATGTTGACAAAATCTATATTTATATAATCCATTGTCTTCCTTTCAATAAATCATGCACCCGTTCGAACAACAATGAATTTTTTCCATCGATAAACCCATCCCCTCGACCAACTTCTTTGTTTCATAAAAGTTATTTTTCATATAGTTATCTATCGACATCAACTCCTTCATCAACTCTCATAACTCGGTTGAAACACTTTTCTAGAAAATGATAATCGGCTTTTAGATTAAGCATTCAAGCAACTCGCCGACAATTGCGAATGTTCATCACGACCGAGCCAAATCTCTCTACGTGATGCATTCAACATATCATAAAAGTATTAAGCGCTAGGATTAGGAACCTCCTTCATGTTGGATGGATCAAAGGATGGACCGGCTATATCCATTATCATACTTTGATATGAGTTTTGGGGTTCACTAGAACTACCTTCGCTTATATAATAATTTCTTGAAACATGTTGACTCCTAGACTTTTCGGATGTCATATAGTTTTCAAATTCACCATGATGCACCCAATTATAATATCCCGGCATAAAACCTTTACAGCAAAATGATATTTGACCATGTCAATCTCTTCATAATTTCGATTTCGACACTTACCGAAATTAAAAAGACACCTAATTTGGTTTCGTCCATACATTCCGGATGCTCAACGACAAAAGCTAAAAATTGTTCTACACCTCGACAAAGTCATCATTTAACAATCCGTTAACTAATCTAAAATTCATCCATTATCGACCAAGTCTCATTTGTTTAATTACTACAAAAATAACACACCCATTGCAAACAATTACTTGTCATCATTCCGAATAATTTTAAATAAATATTAAGCACATATATTAGTTATATAATTGTCTCTAACTAGTTATGAATTTTTTTTAAGAATTTGACTTCCTACTTAAATAAATATTTAAAGAATGATTACATTTTTTTTAATAAATACTTAATTTGTTAATATTTAATTATTTTTGGTGTAATTTTTTTATATTTTCTACCTTGGGTCCAATATATAATAACATAAACCTAACTTAAACCAAATATTTAACCTAATTTAAACTACCTTAGGTAATTTAAGGCAATTACATTGTCATTTTCACTTAAAATACATGAAATTTTATATTTTTTGAACCTAAAAATGTTAAATTACATTATCATCTAATTAATTTATGAAAATATTCAACTAAAATATTTATTTAATTCTATTAATTAATAAAATATTTATAAAATTTTAATGTTTATTTTAATTTTTTAATTACATTTTTATTCAATTATTTTTTGAAATGATCAAATCATTATGCATGTTATCTTGTTTCAATTTTAATAATTAAAATCATAAAATTACTTATAAAATTTACATTTGAAATGACTAAACTAAGTCAAAAATTATATAATTTCAACCCAATTTAACTAAACTACGTAAAAAATTATATAATTTCAAAATTAAGTTTGAACAAACAACTAACCAAATTAACCTAACACTAATATATATATATATATATATATATATATACTTAATTAAAATAACAATTTAATATTTAATAATTAAATTTTAATCTAACAACTCAAAATTAACAAAATTAACCGAACAATTAACATAACAACAAAATAAAACTTAATCTAACAGCTTATAAAAATAAAATAACAACTAACAAATTTTAATTACTACATACAAATTAACATAACAAGATAATTAACAACATTCAAATAATTAATAAACTAAAAAAAATTAACTAAAAATTTATTAACATTTATCTAATTAAAAAAATATAAAAGTTAGAGAGATAAAGTTTTACCCGATAGATCAAAGATAAAGAATACGGATCTTATATGATTTTAAGGGAGAAAGATACCCCTCACTTTGTTGAGCGATTTAGAAAAAGATTTACTAACGTGGGGTGGTGTGGGAAGGCATTTTTATGGGCAACGACGGAAGGGGAGTTGTGGTGGAGGTGTGGTAAACAAATGGAGAAGAAGAAGGAGGGGAGATATATAAAGGCAAAATAGCGACGAACCCAATTTCGTTGCTATTTTGCCACTATTTTGTGAGGAAATTTCCCCCCAAAATAGCGACGGACGGCATCCGTTAGCGATGGACCGGCCGTCCGTCGCTAATTATGTGCCATTTAGGGGGAAATTAGCGATGGATTCCAAAATCCGTCGCTAACTTCACTAAATTACAAGAGTTTTAGTGACGTAAAAAATTCATTTGCTAATTTTTTCATTTAGCAACCATAAGGTTGTCGCTAATCCGTCATCGATTTTGGCATTTTTTCCCACCTTATTTAGTGACGGATTTTTAATCGTCGCTAAGTATCCCTCGTTAGTCCATCGCTAATCCATCGTAAAAAAACAACATTTTATAATATGTCGTTAATCCGTCGCTAAATAGCGATAGATTTTAATCCCTTGCTAATTGATATTTTTCTCGGTAGTGATTCTTGTTGGTGAGCTTGACTAAGAATGACAATCATCAAGTAATAGGCATCAAGGCCATTAAGTAATTTCATATCTTTACTTAGTAAAAAGTGTATTCATATCTATAATCATTAACAAATTATCTTCCAAATTCTTGCCCAAAATATATCATGTCAATATAAGCTTCTATAGTACTTGGCTAACACCCTCTAAAAACTATCTCATAATTGATGTTCATTTCAGTCATTATAATTCCTTTCAAAAATTATTTTGGTCTTTATATTTAATATGATTTACAAATAAATACTCAATTAGAAATATTTTATTCCTTATGCAAATATTTTTTTAACAATTAGGTCCTTACTTGTAATTTTAGCATATATTCATTAGGTAAGACAAAGATATGAAGAGTATCTAGACCTAATAATATAACAAGTATTTACTTTTTCATATTAATATCTACCTCACTATGGATTAGACATGCTTTATGAGTATTTCTTGAGTTGGGTATGAAATAGGCTACCCACTTTATACCGAATCTATTGCAATTTCGAGTTTGACTTGTATCATTTACTTTTAGAGAGATCGTTTAGTATTGTTCATTTGCAAAAGAACAAACAAGTGTTGGAATACATCTTGATTACAAGTGACCGATGCGAGGAACATCCACGAGGACTTGAGGTTGAGAATTACAGGATGAATTTTGAAAGAGGTCGAAATAGTAATCTTTTATTTATTTTATTTAGTTATTTATTTATCCTTTTTACTTAAGAATTTTTATTTTAATTGGGTTTTATTTGGTCCTTAATTGGTTTGGATTCTTATTTAATTAGAAGTCCTTATTTATTTGTAAGTTCATGTAATATAGGAACCCATATTTAATTGGATTAAGTTAAATTAAATTCTAATTGAAAGTGGATTGCATAAATCCTTAGTTATTTATTTAATTTGATCTAGATTAATTAGTTCTTATTAGCTTTTAAGTAGTTAAGTCTAATTAAGTCAAGATTTTATTTTAGTCCTTATTATTTCATATTAGGCTTAAGTTAATGAGTCCAATTGAATTAGGGTTTCAATTTTTTAGCCAAGCTTAGCTAGGGTTTTTTAGAGTCAATATTTAAGCAAAATTTTGCTGCTTTTGTAAGGGTGGCTTTGGATGAATCTTTGAATGAATAAAAATTAAGAGTTTTCTCTTTACTCTTTGCGTATTTTCCTTTGCTTGGATTGTCTATGAAATCGTAAAACACATCTTCATAGTGATTGACTAAGGTAGACTCTTGACAAATATATCTTGTAAGTATTATAATCTCATCTTTGTGGTGGTGGACTCTACTGCAAGGACGAGATTATTTGCTTACACCATTTATTTTTGTTGTTTAGATTGAAGAATTGAATTGATTTTAGAATTACCTATTCATCGAACAGCTTTGGCACCTAGGGTTTTCTAATTGATTTGAAAATTTGTCAATCACTTGTGTCGAGGATGGTCTAGTCTTGGTTAAGATTATATATAAAAGGAATAGAAGTATTTGAAGGGGGTTCAAATTTGTTAAATATTATTAGAATTCTAGGAGATTCTAATATGTGATAGAATTTTGACTTGTTGAAAGAGGGATCTAGAAAAGTGTAGGCTTGACTCGAAATTTTGACCACAACTTCATCTAGATTTTGTAAAATTTTCAAATATTTGGACAAGTTATGATAAAGTTTCTACCTTCTATAATATTTTGGGTTTGCTAGAATTTTAAAATTGTTTGATTTGATTAGAATTGCTAGTGACTTAGTCCAATTTTAGGTTGAATTTGAGGTCGACTTGGTGATTATTTTTTTCTTCTTAGAGGTTATTTTTATGATTGAATATTTGAGCTTCTATAAGATTTAGACCTCTTCCGATCCAAGCATCAATTTGGTAATAGAGTTTAGGTGAGTTTTCATTTATATATTGTTCAATTGTAAAGATGTTGATTTTTGACTTTGATGATATTTTTGTGTTTAACAATGAGGAGAAGGTTCCTAATGTTAATTGGAACTTACCACCTATTTATGATGAATACCATGACAATGATTATGATGACCGTGGTATTAATAATAGTAGTAGTGGTGCTGAAAGGAAAGAAGTTATTGCTATTGAAATAATTTCGACTCGGAGGTCAAAAGGTTATATACGAAATTTTTCTCTAGTTTTGCTACACATATAGCAAGGTTGACCATAATTATAACTTCCATTCCGTAGGAAGTTTAGGGCGAGTTACCGAAAAGGGTGAAGTTAGTGCTTGTAAGTTAAACAAGAAACGTTCTAGTTTTAGAGGAAAGGATGCTCTCATTTTTTATCCCGAGGGTGAGAGGAGGTCTTGTTGTGTATGAGTCCATAATTGATGGTTGTAAGGGATTGTAATATCCTCATATGGAATGCTCAACCTTGTTGGTTGAAGATGCCGGACTAGAGAATGAGTAATCTTGTTATCCTTAAAAAAAGTGTTTCTAGAGTCAAGAGTATGATTCTTTGGCATTCAAATGTTAGTTATAGAAGGCTCTAAAAATCAAAGAAATAAGGTGAAGGGCTTACGAGAAATCAAGTTGAGATGATGGTCAATTTCAAAACTACCTTGGGTATTGTTGAACCAAATATGGCTAGCATGCATGTGGATCTTGAGAGATAAATTCTTTAGGAAGGGCTTGTAATTGGGATCATGATGATGATGAAGTGCAAGACATGGCAGCCACATCATTGAATTACAAATTTGGCAAAGTGTCATGTGATTGAATTGTGTTCTTTAGACTTTCATTATTTTAGTTGTTGACTTATCATGCTAGAGTTAGTTATTGAGTCATCTTGTTAGAGTCGGTTAACAAGTAGTGGCGGTAGTGGGTTGTAGTTTAACTACCCACTCTTTAATCATGTAGTTGTTATTTTCTAGCTTTAGTGGTTTAATCATACTTAAGTTGTAAGCTTATAAATTCCGTAGCAAATTAGCAATAAAGTACTAGAGAAAGCTCCTAAAAGTTAATGCTTGAAACATTTTATCTATAATTCCTCCTTTTTGTTAATCTTGGTCAACAAAATAGCTCATGGTAGGGGACGAGGTCGACGTAACACTTTGGTGTCGAGCCAATAATTCTAACGCTACCAACAATTTGAAAATTTCACATAATAAGTTTGAAATAATATATCATGTATTTTCCTATGTCAATCATTGAGATTCTATATTTAAGACTATTAAAAAAATGAAAAACTCGGTGAAATTTAATTTTATGAAGCAATCTTTTCATAGAAAGTACATTTCTAGGATCATGAGTGGTAGATCTTCATTCCATTTATAAAATAAGCAAGCAATTGTTAAGAGTATTGTATTTTAGTTATTAGACTTTAAAATCTAATGATTAAAAACCATATATGAATACGAGAACATGCTTGTTTGACACCTCATGAAGATTTAAGTAGAAAATGTCGCATTCTTTATACTATTACTAATAACGAAAGTCATAAGAAACCATTCATAATTTTTTTTTAAAGAAGCCTTTTATTTAAAAAACAAAACTCATCAATTTACATTCTTTTGAAATTTTGGTATGTAAATTACTCCCTGTTTGGGCTAAAATAAGAAGGTATTTAAGATTTTAGTTGTTATCCCTCAATTTTTGTTTTTTTTCTACAAATTTTTTCTATAAATAAATAAATAATATTTTTTTTATTTCACTTGATTTTATAATTTTTAAAAAAAAATTTAAGATTTTTAGGAGTCTTATAATTTGTGAGTTTAAAGAAAAGAAAAGGAGAATAAGTTAAAAAAGATGATTTGAGGGTCTAATTGAAAAAATATAAGAAGTAAGGACTTAATAACATCTAATTACGGATACAAGTGGAAGAAAATAAAAATTGAAGGCCTCAATTGAGAATGAATTAGGATGGAATTAAAAAAAATTAAAAGAAAAAGGACATAATAATTTCAATTAGGTATATGATTGGCAAGAAAATAATAAGACAAGGACCAAATTTGAAAAAGAAGGAGAAATCGAGGACCAATTCATATTTTATCCACAATCCTAAAAAATCCCATTATAAATAGATTTTTCTCTCTCATTGTTAAGGGAGTCGCTATTATTCATCAAAAACAAAAGAGAAGCAACTACATCATCTTCTTCAACAAATACCAAGTTTTAGTTTTGACATGCATATAATGTAATTTATCTTGGGTAGGATGTGGAGGTGGTGATGTTGATCTTCTTTACTTGTAATTGACTCATTATTCAAGTTTTTTTATAGACTAGTTTGTTTAGAATTTTCTAGTTCTCTCGATTGCTAAGTGGCAACTCCTCTCACTTTCGAGCCTTTGTCGATAGTTTTGGCGACTTTACTAGGGACTATACTAGAGTTAAGTTTTGCATGCATGTATGAATAAATCTCTAGTTATACGTTATGTTTCTATACCAATATGATTAATTCTTGAGTGAATCTTTACTTTTAATTGCATGTTTGCTTGTATGTGTATCGTGTATATGTTTTTTGTATTTTTTTGTAGCCTTTTTAACTATAGTTTTTTATTTTATTTTTTGAGACTAGATATGGAATTGTGCATCCACATACAATACTACATAAATTATTTGTTTCACACACTTACCTTTCGATCTAAGGAGAAATTAACGAGTGCTTCGATGGGTTCCGACTTAGGTAACACTCACATAACCTCAACTCTTCGAAAAGTTATTGTTATGTTGATAGGTAACTCGATAGCCTATATAGTTGCCACCTAAGGACTTGGTTAGCCTCAATTATCTTGAGCTGAAAGGTACCTCGTCTAAGACTTAGATAGATCTTATCTACTCACGTAATGACTAGAATCGGACCTTAGGATCATCTTTCTTGTATAAATTATCTAGACAAGTTGGATGTATTAAAATCTTGATCGAATAATTTAATCATGAATGTTTAAAAATGGTTGACAAGAGGATTTTGATCCAATCCATGCAATTTATGAGTAGCAAAGGAACTTTGAGGCTCTATAATAGATAGAGAGAGATTATTTGAGGCTAGATTTTTAGAGTAACTATAAAGAGATAACGTATTTTCAATCGGTGATCAATAACACTTAGAAATTACTTGACTCGTTTGAAGATGTTAAGTGCCAACTATCAAAATAAGTTCAAAATGAAATATGGAAACCTTGTTATCTTGTTGGAGTTGGGTCAAAAGTCCGCCTTTAAGGTTTTTGACTCAACTATGGGACCCTTTATATGGTTAATTTACTCTTAAATAGGTTGAATTAACCCCTACCTTAGCGAAATATCATTAGTTTTTATATGTGCCGAGTTCTTTGTGTAATGTCTATCGATATCGAAAACAAGGAGATTTAAAAAAGTGGAAGATTGATTAGACATAAACATGAGTTATAGTGGAGACAAGGGTAACACTAAAGGTTGACATTGGGAAGCTTGGTATGAACTATTCAAATTGAAGTTGAAAGAACCGTGAGCTAGCTCCAAAAGTCGTAAAATACTAACATTGATGATCTTTAGATTAGTGTTTTTCTCTTTATTTGCCAAAATAATCGATTGGTGAGGCCAATGTCTTCATCGAAATGGAGAAACATGTAATATACCCTACTATCACCATCCTAGTAGAAAAGTTTTCATCATTGAGTCATTATTAGAGAGCTAGAAAAGGGCGTATGAGATATTATGTGCAATTGATATTTGTATGGATTATCAATCCTGTTGAATTACACAAGTTTGTCTTTAAGTTAAGTCGGTAGATCGATCAAGAGCCTTGAAAAGAGTTTATGGCTACGACATAGAAAAATAAATCTAAGCAAGAGTGGCTTTCTTTGTTCATGAATATGTCACTTGGTGGTTTTCTTTGGCAAATAGGTTGGATGAACCAAGGGTATTGCTTGGTTTATTATGGAACACAACCATTTGTTCCCCTTATAGAAGCATCTAGATACATATGTTATACTCCTTATTTGGTGTTAATATGAATTATCTATCCTTAGAACCATTGACATGACCACTTTTAAAGGAGATTTAAAAGATAAATCCTCATCTAAATTCTTTTCACGTGTTTTTGAAGACTAGTCAATTTGCGGAATAATAGGTGAATGAATAGTTGATCAAGAGTTAGCCATAACCGAGAGATATGCCTTATGGAAAGCAAATAGGATAAGAGATTACAAACATCTAACTAGTCTAAATGAAACTGCAAGAAATGAATCCTTGATTCGGTTAGTCCAAAGAAAAGAGGTTGTTCCTCTATCAAAAGCTCTCAATGTCATATCCGGCCAATCTAAGGAAAAAAGGAGGAGAATGGATGATGACTCAAAACTAATTCCTTTAGACAATGACGATTTAAAAAAGGAAATCAAATGTCTCAAGGCCAAAAGACTAAAACTAATTAATGACTTAGCCAAGGAGAAGAAGAAAAAGGAAGAAGATAAGGGTAAGATGAAGAGTTTGGAAGAAGATTTGGAAATGTGGCAAGATATAACTACCAAAGATGAAAATTATAAATGAATATGTCATAAAATCCAAATAGAATTATCATTGAAGTCCATTGATATCAACAACTTATAGTTTTAAGGTGAACAAGCTAATGGTAACATAGATATTCAAAAGATAGAAATAGAAGAGCTTCATATAAAAATATTGATATGGAACTTTCTCTTGAGTTGGAGCATAACAACAAAAAGGAATTCACAGATTAATTAGAAAAAACCCAAAAGCAAATAGCCTTACTTAAAAAGATAATTAACAATTAGAAAGAGACCAACATAGACAATCTTTATATTGGTCCAACCTACATAATCAATTGGTCTAAGTCAATAGCAAACGAAATTAGTGCTTGATTATGTTGGAAAATCAAGCTAAGGTGGTCAATAAATAAGTCGAAGATCTATAAGAACTAAACTTATGTATCGGTAAACGTATAACGTGTAAAAATCACAAAGCTATTAATAACTACCTAAAGAGACACAATAACTTGCTATATAAGATGTGAAGGATCATGCATCCTATGGAGGTGCGGAATAAAATAAAAAAAGTTTTCTTCATCTAAAGCTTTCAAGATCAAGCCATTGAATCAAACAATCATACATACATGAATTAAAAGCATGAGTCAAAGATTACCTATTATAATGTAGATTTAGCCTTTTTAGAAAAAAAGA